TCTTCTTTTCGAGCCCACGAGGAAAGGTTAAATTTAATTATGCCATAACTTGAAAAAAAAATTAGTGAAATTTTTAATAAAAAAATAATCGTCGATGTTGATTGATTTTGCGCCTTTTCGAAATAATGCGCCCATGGCATTTGCCATACTTGCCATACCCTAGATACGCCACTGTCTGCAGGGGGATGGCACCCCCCGCTTCGGTAGCCCGACGACCTGCACGCGAGGTCGAGCACTTTACGGTAGAACAGTTTAACGAGGACCAATACCGCACACCCTCGGTCCCTACGCAGGACTGATCCAAATGGTCACCCACCCGTACACTGACCACAGCCAGTGATGCTTGACTTCGGTGATCTGCTAGGAACCGTGTTTTTAAGATAGAAAACTCATTCCAATGATTCATTACGTGCTGTAGTTCTTCGTGAACCCCTCGAGCCATAACTTTAATATCGTATATATTTTCCTATATAGGAAAAATTTGTCACCAAAAATTGGTATGCACCATTAATGTTTAAGTTTTCTACAACCATTTTAGAAAGAATTAAAAGTAAATCTAAACTGATGTCTTTCTAAGTTTTTATTTTTATAAAAATACGAAATTGTTCTAAATGTATAGCTAAATATTCAACACTGCTTAAATTATGTAAGACAACCTAACAAAATAGTGTTGCCAATAGATAAATACTAGAGTTTATGGTACTACACAAGAGAAATACTTATAGATTATCAAGCTTAAGAAATTCATAAACTAAATTTTGTCAAGCCTTTGAACAAGATTCACCAGATTAAAATATGTCTAGTTAATGTTTCAAGCAAATACTTTTTACTAAAAATTTTTAAGTAAAGGTGGCTTGATTGTTTTGTTTTCAGGAGGGCTCAAAGCTTTGACAGCTCAATTCAGATAGTTCAGAGTTTCTAAAACTGGGGTTTTAGAAACTCTGCGGTTTTAGAAACGTAGCGATTTTGATCTTTTTTTGAACTTGTTAAAACAATTTTACAATCAACACATTTTGTGCACGTTGAGTGAAAATAGATAAATATAAGACGATACTGCCTAAGAAAAAATTAAAGAGGTTCGACACTTTTTTTTTTAAATAATAGAAACAGTCAAGACTTATGGGAGCCCACAAAATTTTTGCAAGTATTATGGGATCCCCCAAAAAAGGACTGAAGGAAAAACTGAATAGGACTGATTGATATAGGCTCAAATGCACTAATGGTTATAAAATATTGACTAAAATGGACAATTTTATATAGGGCATATAAATGCGAAATCATGGTTGAATATACTATGAGGTTTATTTGTCCTACAACCCCATGCTTCTATGATTTCAGTATAGGTAACTTTTGGCTATTCGTATCTCCGCATAACAGTAAAACTATCAGCGTGTCAATATTTAAGATTTCGTGCTTATTTTTTAGACAACTATCTGCAATTGAAATCCATATTAACTAAAACATTGACTTTCTTATTTTACATTCTGAATTTACACCATAAATTGTCTGGACTAGATAATTGTTAACTTTTGTTGCATATCGTGTGATCCCTTTATTAAATAAATTTATCTTTTTTGATTTGAGGTAATCGCCGCATGATACAATTTTAATCCATAATAACTGAGATTCTACATTCTTGGAAATCACTGTAAGAATGTGGCATATTTGTTACCCAATTAGATTAGCTGATGGTGCCGTCTTTACAGCAGGAAACCTTATGAGATAGCAGTAAGCCTGGCGACAAAAAACGCACCCCCGCACGAAGTTTGAGGGCCAGGATCCAGAAATAATTCACTATAAAAAAGGGGTGTGAAACGTCCAACTTCTATAAAATAATAATAATCTTTATTTTTTTTTGGAAAATAAAAAAACAGGAAATTATGGATTGCGCATTTAAGTTTTTGACACACCCAATTATAATCAATGTAGTTTTTTGATGACTTTCTTCGGTGGTTACCGTTACGAATTTTCAAATTTTTCTAATACGACAAAATTAGGGTGCGTAATTTTCGAATTTTAGTAATCACTTTTGATGCTCTTTGTGTCCATTTCATAGTTAATCCGAATGAATTGTGATTTTTTAATATTCGTGAATTTCAAATAATGCAAATAGTTATCACTTTTTACATGTTTTATTTGTAACAATTTAATCGTAAATTCAAGCGTTTTTTAAACCGTTTTTTCAGCACTGTGCATTTCCACATGGTTTTGAAATTATCAATATTTTTAATGTGTATAAATACGACACTCGAATCGTGCATTTAAATGTGCGCTTTATTTGCTTCAGTTTCTTAGCAAATCTAAAAGTTTTTTCCCCAACATTCATTACTGCGCTTTTCCATTGGGTTTCAAAAATTAATTCTGTTATTCTTAATCCGGTGTTATAATAACTTCCGATTTTCGAATCAGGCATTTTAATCATAACCTTTGACGCTTTAATTTAAACCAATTCTTTCTATGTTACTTTTCAGTCCATTTTTTTGGCACTTGTTACTTTCTTTTAAAAAAAATCGATATTTTTAATATAATATTACTGCGAAACCCAATGTGCTTTTAAACTGTTTATTGTTATTGAACTTTATTTCTAAATTTTTGTATCTTAAACAAAGACTTAAAAACCATTTTAAGATCTAACACCTATAAAATCTTTTTAATCTGATGATTCACTAAACATAGATGTCATAAAATTAAAAAATACATTGAACTGAATCCCAACTGAGTTTTGAATCTTATTCAGAGCTGTAATGTGTTTTATTTAAAATTATTTTACACCAATTAAATTTCTTTAACAAGAATACTTAATTCGCATTTATGTAACCCTTTAAAATATTCAATATTTCATTTTTTCCCAATTTTTATATATTTTTTTCAATCTAATTTTTTGATAAAAATGGAATGTTATAATTTCGAATAGTAACTTTTTGTCATCCTTCGGCTTTGAATGAATTTTAATGTTTAAAAGAATTTAATTTCATGCAAATATGTTACTGAAGTTAACTGATAAAAAAAATTGTGTCTGAAACATTGATGTTTACTTTAAAATTATCATAATTGCCGTCAATATGTCTTAATACTTAGGTACGCAGCCATTGAGTCATAAAAGGTTGTATATCCTTACTCTATGAATTCCAATAAAAATATTTTTTCGAAGTTTTTTTTTCAATTTTTACAAATTAAAATAACCCTTAACTAAGCTTTGATGTAATTATTGTAGGATAGAGCTTCTCTGATATCTTTAAGATTAGCTTCAAACTGGTAAGACGGTAAGTGTACACAATGTTCCAATTTCGTACTTTTTCTAACTTCCGCCTTTCCATCACAATTATCAATTCCTTATTAATAAATATTAAAATACTTCAAATTAAAATAAAATGAATGATAAGTATCCGATGTATTATTTTCGGAGTACCTGAATTTAAAAAAAAAAATTTTCTTAAGTCTAATTAGAGCTCATTTATAAATATGGAAGGGGGGTGCAGCACCTGAATCTATATACGCCACTAGGTAGTAAGTTTAGGATAATGTGATATTTTCTCATTTCAGTTAACTATATATTTGCTTTATTCAGAAGAATACCATTTTAAGTTCTATTTTCCTACTACTTCTCAGCATTTTTCGAGAACTGGTTATAACTTTGGTAATTTTGACACCCTAGAATATAACTCCTTCTTGTAAATGGGGGAGAGAGAGTTAATTGTTTTTTGTAATCTAAACACGAAAAGGATAATGGAAGGAGAAAAACATTGTAATGCATTCCCATAAATCTGAGCTGTGGGGGAGAGGTTTGTGAAGAAGCCATTGGCGATCGAAATAGGCTGCAGGTGGCGTGGAGCAACCTACCTATGGCAACACTTCACATGCTTTCCCCATTAGCGTGTGGAAAGTCATAGAGGAAGGAAGTACGTTAGTTTCTCTCTTGTTGTTCATATAGATTAAAATCTTTTAAGTTGGAAAACTATATGGAACTGAAAACTACATTAAACATAGTTCTAAAGAAAAGTATCATTGGAATTTTAAAAAATATTTTTATTAAATAAAAAGGAAAAATATTAAGAAAAGGGAAAATATCGTAGAACATTCCCATACAAATGAAAAGAGGAGGAGAGGGAAGGGAGAAGGGCTAAAGTCATGAAACCGGTCTCTCATCAGATGGCGTATTCGAGTGTTGGGATCGCCAATTGGCGATCGAAATGGGCTGCAGGTGGCGTAGAGCAGAACTCTTTCCTATGGCAACACTTCACATGCTTTCCCCATTAGCGTGTGGAAAGTCATAGAGGAAGGAAGTACGTTAGTTTCTCTCTTGATTTTCATATAGATTAAGATCTTTTAACTTGAAAAACTATATGAAACTGAAAACTACATTAAACATAGTTCTAAAGAAAAGTATCACGGAAATTTTAGAAAATATTTTTATTAAGTAAAAAGGAAAAATATTAAGAAAAGGGAAAATATCGTAGTACATTCCTATATAACTGAAAAGAGGAAGAGAGGGAAGGGTGAAGGGCTAAAGGCATGAAACCGGTCTCTCCCCAGATGGCGTATTCGAGTGTTGCGATCGCGAGCGATTCACACGGTAGGTGAAAAAATCATCACTCAAGCGAATTTTGAGATTTTACCGGGTTGGCGAGTTTTTTCATTGGTAAATATATATTTTCTAAAATCACACACACACACACACAGATTATCATTTGAATCAGGTTCTCATCTTCGAATTCGCGTGTGCGAATTTTTCGTTTGCCGTGTGAATGGTCCTTATGGGTGAGTTTTTCACGGGAAAAGATTTCATGTATCAGGCTCTCATATTTTCACGTAGTTGATCGGAGGTGCGGTACCCACATTAGATGAAAATGTTTAAGAAGCTTACTGCATCAACAATCGCATCCGCTGTTGTTCTTTAAATATATTTCTCCAATCAAGTTCTTATTGGCATCTCTGAATGTTCATTTGCTAAATTTCGTATACAGTGAGAATGGCTTAATAGTTTTACTTGCAACGGTTACAATCAACTCTATTTTGTCCATATTCAGCCAAGGCTGTTAAGCCAAAGAAGGCTTAGCGGGCTTTAATTCTGGAAGAAATAAGCAGTCTTAAATGTTTGTATTATATAATAACAAGTAATAGTAAAAATGGAGTATTTTAATATTAAGGATGTGAATTAAATTGAAAACTTCATTTACCATTCTTTAAAAATTTATTAACAAATATGGCTTCAAATAAATTTCCAAGTGAAGCTGACTCATCGGAAAAAGATAGACTAGAATGGCTTCAAACTGTGGAAGACCTCAACGAGATTCGAAGAAGTCAAGGTGGTGGGATGAGAGAAAGAATGCTATCTAAAATAAAAGAAAATCCTCTTGTCCCAATTGGTACGTTGTACCTATTTGATTCCTTTTTTAAGTTCATATATCTTAATTAATGGGCTTGTTCTTATGTTAGTTTTGATCATAACGTAAAAACAGAAACAAACTGTAATTGCAATAAAATTAATATTCAATTGCTTATATACTAAGCATGACTGCCATTAGCAAATCTATTATAAAGTTTAAATTATCTTTATTTTTAACGAAGAGATTGTCTGAAATATAAGGTCTGGTGGATGTAAAATCAGTCAGTGAATCCCCTTAAATCTAATATCTAATTACATATAATTTAATGAAATTTTTAATGATTTTCTTATGCACATCGATTTTATGTGATTGTTTTCTCACAATGAGGTTATTATTTCCTCCTTGACTATGAGTGTAACTAATATTAGACCACTATTCCATATTTGTCTCTTTTGCGTAATATTAAGTTAGCCTATTCATTTGGAATAGATTTATTAAAGATAATATAAAATTGTATGTATTAATATTAGAAATAATTTTATATTTATTTGCTATGTTCAAAACCTTGCAAATTATGTTCTGTAAAACAAATTGAAAAGCAAAATTTGAAGAATTCTAGCAAGTGCTAGGTTACTCTATACTGCTCTGCAAATGAAAAAGCAACATAAGTGCTTCACGATAAATTTCAAGAAACGTGGTTTGACAACTATTTTTGTTTTTATTGTTAATGCTATGAATTTTGAAATAGAATTTCAAAAAACTGATAGAACAAAATTTCTTTTTGAAAAGCATTTTTTTGCTACTTACCATACACAGTACTGTTCTAAGTATATACTTACCATTTTTTTATTGCTTACATTGATTTTTCTATTGCAGGGCAATCAACTGAATCAAAAGTTTTGTAGTACTTATTATTTATTTATTTATTATTTTTTTAAATTATAATCAGGCAAGTTAATTTCTTAACTTATAAAATTTATTTTTGGAGTTGTGAATGTTTTTTTTTGTAATTAGTTTTTTTTTTCTGAATTTTTAATAGTGCATCATTTTAACGGAACTTAAGCTTCATTCTTTTATTGTAACTTTGGTAACTTTAGTGGTAAGACAAGATAACTGGCAACTTTGAAAACTGATTTTCAACATTAAAGTTATATTTTAAAAACTAAGAACAATTTTTTTTATAACTCTCTTTTGATTTTCTTTTCTTTTTATCAGCATTTTTTAACGAGCATTTCTAATAAATGTTTTCTTTTACCATCACTTTTTTCTATAAGTACAGCATTATGAAAAAATAAAATAGAGGTTTTTAGTCAGGATTTATTTTAGTGTTGAAGTGAAATCTTGAAGTGAAATTCTTGAAGTGAAATCTTGTACATCTGTGCATAATGTAGGAATCAAAATTTATGAATTACAGTCTTTAAATAAAACTAATTTTGTTTAGGTCTTGTTGCCACTACTGTAGCGCTTTCTTGTGGACTTTATGCCATGAAATCTGGAAATAAAAGGAGGTCACAACTTATGATGAGGGCTCGAATAGGCGCTCAAGGTTTCACTGTTGCTGCTTTGATTATGGGTATCTTAGTAGCGTCAGGAACTAAGAAAACATAATTTTAAATTGTGTAGAATATATGTATATGTATAATATTTTAGTTGTTTATTAAAAAGTTTCGTGTCTTTCAGCTGATATTAAATTTGTGTTTTATATCATTGTCTGTAAAGTATATTGATTAATTATTTTAATATTTAATGTCAACACTATTATATGTAGAGGTACTTACCATGAACCACTTCGGAATTTCTGTAGTTTCAAAAAATAGTTTTTCTTTAGATAGCAAAGGTAATGTATTTGATATTTTAATCAATTAAAGTTATAAAAACTTTGTTCACTTCAACAGGTAAATAGTTTAAACATGGGTGAAATAGTCTGCTTATGTTTATTAACAACTTAATAAAAATTCTATTTATTTTAAAAACTTCTTTCTCACTGCACTATCAGTGGAAATAATAGTTTTAAAAAATCTCGAGTATTGGGAGGTATGTATGTAAATATTATATATTTGTGACAGTGCACGTAAAATCTCAACATATTCATGCAAAATTGGGAAAAACGTAAAGATATATATATTTTTTAAATTATATTCTGTGTATGTTTACTACTATCTTTTACTTCTTGATTTTTCTTTTTCTGTCTTTAAATCCCACTGAAACATTATTTTAAAAGTAACATTTGTGATATGATCATAATCGGTTTTGGTTAGTTAATACAGTTACAACTCTGTTAAGTATCAAAATTATATTATGCCTTTTATATTTAGTTTATAGTACTATTTGCAGGTTTCACAGAGGTTGGCCAAGCCCAGAAAAACCTAGTGGGGTTTTTCGGATTGGACCCACTTGAAAAAATCCCATCTTTATACCGAATGGGTTTTTTCACATTTTATTATTTTTCAAACAATTTTCTTTGCAATTATCAGATCAAATTATCAGCTTTTTGTTTGATAAATTTTACTTTGTATACAAAACAGTATGAAGTAAAACATTTTTCAATAATCTGGTTTTTGCAAACAAGATTATAGACTAAATTCATGAAAAAATAAAGTATGTGACTAAAAAAAATGTTGCTAAGCTATACTTTTTGCATAATTTATTTGGATTATAAACCTTTCAGGATTCGTAAAGTATATTACATATATCCAATATTTAAAACTTAATAAGAAAGAATGTAGAAATAAATTTTTAATTAAAAAAGAAATTGAGTATGTTTAAAGTTTAGACCAAAATCTCCTCTTTTTATTTTAGGATCTCTATTATAGACTGTACCTGTTTCCATCTACTGTACCTTTTTCAAAAAAAAAAAAAAAAAATCTATATTTAAAGATAAAGTTAAGAATATTGAACTCAGAATTTGGAAAATAACATTAATTTAGAATATTAGTTATAAGCCAATACATCTCACCTAATTGCTCAATTATTCATTGCTTCTCTTGTGAAAACTGGTCTAGTAGCAAGAATATTTTCTGGTTTTAGATTAGTTCAAATCAAACTGTGAAATTGCTTAGGGTCTGAATTATTTCAGTTTTGTTTAAATATTTTAATAAAAGAAAAGAGACATGCCAATATTTTAATTTTTGTTTTGTCTCATAAAATGTCATGACACTTGAGATTAAATTTATATTGTACATTTTAACAAGAGCCAACAATTTATTTATTATTTATGAATTTTGCTTTTGTTTGCTTACATTTTATTTTGTTAATTACAAGAGAAAGATTAAATTATCTTGTTAAAATATAATTATTTATTAATTAAATTTAATAAGGTTTTCTGCATATTCAGTAAATCTTAAATTATATACTTGTCATGTTTAGAAAGAAACAAATGCTTGATTTTTTTAAAATCTTTTTTTCATTCATTTCAAAAGTAAGACGTATAATTTAGATAAAGATTGATAATTTTTTATACTTTGAGGGCATATAAAGAATTCATGCATTGAAAAATTACTAATGAATATACCCTATGTAACAAAAGGATAAATGCATTTCATTTCATGAATGTGAATTCCATGAATAACAATTAGTGATGTAACGAATAATGATTTGGCCGAGTACCCAATATTCAGCCAAATAGCAACTTTTATTATTTTTTTTAAAGAATCATTAATAAATTATATTCTTTATACTTAAACCCCAGCAGAATTATTTTGGAAATTTTTTGCGACAAACTTCCCTAACTCTAATATCTTTCAGCAAGATACATTTGATATTAATTACTAACTGAAAGAAAAAGAAGCATGATTTTGCAATAGAAAAAGAAATCTACATCATGTGGAATAAAATTATATCTATATTTATTATATAGTTTTAATTGTAAATGTAATATGTTTTTTATTCAAGTATTATTATTATAGTATTTTCGCATTTCATAGTTGGAAAAACGCACTAATTTCCTTTTCCGAATTTTGTAAATCAGCATTTAGACAGCGGATAATATGCAATTGCATATTTTAGCACCTTTTGCCATTTGTGCACATAAATGCAATTAAAGGTATATTTGCTCTTATAAATGCATATTTTCAGCATTTTATGGCTTTTCCCTCCTAAAACCATATCACTATTCTTTTTATGTTAGCATAAAAGGAGCGCTTTAAATTTTGTTTTGTCGTTCTTTATCACCTGAAAGGGTCAGCTGGATTGATGTTGCTGGGGGTGATTGCAATCATGTGAAAAAGATGTAGAAATGAGGTGTGTGTCGGGAAGGAGGTACAAAGGGCCCACCCAAACAGGCATTCGTCATAGAAACCTCAGAAAGGGATGGTCAGATATTCTATGAAGGGATGTCTTTTCCTGGAATAAATAATTGTCAATCTGTGTGGGAAAAATAAGGCTTCTGTGGTAGGTAGAAAATGACCTCCCTTTCCTGTGATTGATTAGTTAAAAGGTGGAGTGAATACATTTTCGGAGAGAGCTGCTATTCTAACATATTTCGATAGTCCATCCGATAGATAGATAGTTTCGACATCCATCAGTTGAATACGTAGTTAGTGAAGCTTCGAACGTGATTTTTGACTGCTGAATTTTATAATATGCCAAAAATTAAGTCGACTAAATCAAATTTAATGAAGACATGGATTTCGGACTATGGGAAGGACTTTACGACCGATGGGGAAATAGTATTTTGTGTGATTTGTCAAAAACACATTTCCTGTGAAAAAAAGTACCAAATCGATCAACATATAAAGACTAATGCTCACTCCGCGAAGAAAAAGCAGAATACAAAAGGATTTGTTCAAAGTTTATTAACTATTCCTGTTCAAGCAGCTAAAAAGGAAAGTGATTTTTCTAGTGATTTATGCAAAGCCTTAGTAAGCAGCAATATTCCTTTAAAAAAGTTAAATAATCCAAACTTAAGACAGTTTTTAAAAAATAATTGTACCAATCAGATCATTCCCGATGAATCGACTTTAAGAAAGAACTACCTTCAACCGATATATAACGAAGTACTGGATGATATTCGACGAGATATTGGAGATGGCCCTATATGGATTGAAGTCGATGAGACGACAGATAAGTGCGGTCGCTATATTGCTCATTTTATTTGTGGAAAAATGGATAATATTCCTAC